TCATTCTTAGTATGGTTGTTATGTTCTTCTTATCTCTTCTTAATTTTGTTCCAGTGTTGAATTAAAAAAAAAAGACAAAAGAAAAAATATCTACTCAGTGTGATGGAAAATGCTCTTCTCTAATGACCATTAACTGACATCAACAATTTATTTTCCTACAAACAAATATAGTGATATGACAAACTTCTTTTCTTCTTGAAATGGCCGGATGTGTAACAATTTGCAACATGTTTGAAATTAAACCTGCTTAATTCTGAAATTTTCTATTGGTGATATAGTATATTTGGGTTCCAACTAAGACTTCAAGAGCTGGCATGAGCATACACCGATTTCAAAGGTTCATGGAGTGGTACTTGATTTTTTTTTTTTTTTGGTTCTTGAAATAGGCTAAAATCATAGAAAGAAACAGATAATATGGTCACTTCAAATTTATTTGTCACTCTAGATTTGCTTGGTTCTGCACTATAAACCTGTTGCAACTGTAAACACAAGTTATTTGTGGTCTGAATTTCATTCCATTTTAGATGTTTGGTCACTTTAGAATCTTTATATGTGCCACAGTGTTGTGCGATGTTGGGACTCCAATACAAATCTCATTTTGCAATTGGTTCCCAATAAGGGAAATCATTATTAGAGAAAAAGATACCAAGGGTGGATATTCTATAGAATGAGATGATAAACACCCTCTTATTTTAATGGTGGCATAACTAGTGTACTTAGATGCATATATCACATTTAACAGAAGTGAAGCATAATTTCCACAGAGGTATGGTCTCACGGGCCTTAGGACAATTGTCATGGTCTAAGAGAATTTTACCTTCCAATATTTTGTACGTTGACAGGTAAGCTTTTCTGTGTAAAAGAAGAGATAAATCATAGTATTACATTTCTTCCTTCTTTTGTTGTTAAAAATCATAGTATTGCATTTCTAGTTATGTCTATTTTATTCGTGTATTAGAAAGAATGTTACTTAAAATGGTTATATGTGTTGAGTAAATTACTACATAAGGATATTTTATTTCCTAGGACTTGTTTATTTTCCTCTAATTTGTTTTCCTTTACTTTTTTTTCTGATCCCAATAATGAAAATGGTTAGAAAGGGGGGTTTCATTGATTTTATCAAAGCCACACAAAACTCATACGTATTTGGCTGATCTTATATGTCTTAGACCATGGTAGTTCAGACTAAAGCTTCAAATATAATTTTGTTTCATTACAGGAAGCATTACTTAATTCCAATATTTTACTATGACCCCTTTTTAGTCGATTCTGGTATTTCAATAAAGGAATGCTTTCCAAAACATGGCATTTTCTGAAAATTCTCAAAAACATACTTTCAATACCTCTTCCTAAAACATATTATCATTTAGTTTCAAAATCATGTTTTCATCACTGTTTCTCAAGAACATTTATGGTGCACGATCTGGCAGCTCCCTGTTGTTAGGTGACTCGGATGGCGAGCTGGACAATTCATTGCTGAAAGGTGACTCGAATGCTGAGCTAAATAACGACGAGTTGTATACTTTACTAGGGCGACAATATTAGAGTTCCCAGGTTGCTTTACCTAGGGTGGGCACTCCAATGCTTAAGTCAATGAATTAGATATTTTTGAGAGAGCTAAAAGTGAGAGAGCTAGAGAGCTGCAAGAGCTAAATTGCGCATACCCCCTGAGGTTGGAAACGAGACCTTTATATAGGCGTAAGAAACTTGGAGCTTCTTGTAACACGCCTGAGATTTCCAAGAAACCGCATCCGACATGTTCGGAGGAGAGGGATAGAGTCTGTTCAATAAACTTCAACACGGATGATACAAAAAAATGGGTGTAATGGTCGAACGTCGTGGTCCTAGAGAAGTGGGAAACAGTAATTTGCTTAAGGAAGAGGTCGGCAAGCACGTCTTGCATGTCACCACCTGAACCTCTATCAAGTCAACAAGTCCTCGAGGAGGTCGCTCTTCACGTTGAGGTCCCTTGGACAGGTAGTGACGAGGTACTACATGTCGGCGATGTATGTCTCGCCGGACGTTGATGTCCCTTGGACAAGTAACGACGAGGTACTTCATCGTAATACCTTGGCAACCCTAGGCACATCTTAGTTCCCTAGCAACCCTAAGAAGGCCTTGGCAACCCCAGGAGTGACATCGCATACCCTGGAAACCCTAGGAAGGCCTTGACAACCCTGGAGCAATCTCACATATCCTAGCAACCCCAGGAAGGCCCTGGCAACCCCATTTGCGATTTCATATTCCCTAAGAAGGCCTTGAAACTCCAGGCACGACCTCATATTCACTAGCAACCCTAGGCGTAATTTCATATTCTATGGCAACCATAGGAAGGCCCTGGAAACCCCAAGCGCACATCTTAATTCTCTGGAAACCCTAGGTGCACATCTTAGTTCTCTAGCAACCCCAGGAAGGCCTTGACAACCCCAAGCACACATCTTAATTCCCTGGAAACCCTAGGAAGGCCCTAGCAACCCTAGACGTACATCTTAATTCCTTGGAAACCCCAAGAAGGCCCTAATAACCACGGGTGCAAATCTCCGTTCCCAGGCAACCCCGGGCGTGCATCATCATTCCTTGGCAGCCCCGGGCATTACACATTACTTTTGAAGCTCTGGGCACTAGCAATCTACTTTGTTATAAATAGATACAAATATAGAAGACCACAAAACTTACTATAATCAAACAGTTACACAAGAACTCAACATTAGTGAGCTCTAATACCATCCATCTCACACCAAAACTACTAGAGAAAACGCTCTTTTAATTGATAGTTAATCTTTCATCACATTGACCAAACTATATATCTCATGCTCAGTACAAATAAAACTACATACATGTATCATGATCTATAATATTATCGTTACAAGAATATTAATATGCGATGTAAACTTAAAATGACAAGTCATAGAAAATATGTTTCTTGATAGAAGGCCTTCCATCAAGAAACTGGGACACTAAACTAGAGGAAACACTGAGCTACCCCAAGAAACACCCCTACAGTTTCACCATCACTTACACCTTCAACACTTTGTATGTGACTCAAATGACCTACAAAAAAACTACAAGTCAATACAACAACACCAACAAAGAAAGGTCCAATCTTAATATGTAGGCCCAGCCATACCTTTTAATAGAACATAAAATCACTAGGCTTCCTTTTGCGACACTCATGAAGCCACAATCTATAAATCAATCAACTCCCTTGTTATCAATCATTTAATCAAATATACGACATTGGACAAGTTAAGAAAAATGCAAATGATGCTTATTGACAAGAATATTCTTACCAATAAGCAAGGGGGTTAATTGTAAGTACATATAGTTTACCATCACCAGGATTATGATAAGGACGCCAAAGGAAAACCATATGGAGGAATCTTGATTAGGATACCCTCGCAATGGTACAAAAACACTCTATCGAACGATGGAAAGCTCATACATCTGCGATGAACACAAAGGGCCATCCAAGACTTGTGATGAGCATAAAACACATCTTGGAACCTGCGATGATCATAAAACACCTCTTGGGACCTGTGATGAGCAATGAGCATCACCCGTGGTTTGCGATGGACATAAAATAACATCGATAGTCTAAGACAAACTTAATACACAACTAACATCTTGTGATGGGCACGAAATGACAGTCCATGCTGTAACGAATGGTGAACAGACTTCGAGGCCGGCAACACTCGCATACGAGAAATCAACATTCCTTCTGGTCACAACAAGCTATGATAAGGAATCCCTAAGGTGATCAAGCAAACACCCGAGTACACCAATCAGATCCATGTCTTGCCCTTGACATGTGTCCACAGGAAAACCCATAAGGGGACGTACGCATGCACCACGCAAGAATTCTTAGGAGAAAATAAACATTGTCCTTAAAAGGATCTCGCTAAACATGTGATGAAATCCTAATTGTGCTCTCTTAATAACCAGCATAAAAATAAATATTCTCTTTCCTAATAGGAAAGATCTCTTTTTAGATCAATTTCCTTATAGCCATGGGGTCTCTCTATAAAATGGGGAGCGAGCAACCCTCCCCTACAAAAAGACCATATAACTCTAAACCCTAAGGCTTCTCAAGGGAATTTCTCTCTTCCTCTCCTTGACTCTTCCCCGCCATTCTATAGATTTTTGGAGACTTGACCATCTGCCATGAGAGTCTATGTTATTTATACTCTCACATAGAGCTTGCAGGACATTTTTAAAATTTGTGGTGAATTTAAGAGAAATATTAAAAAAAAAAATCATGGTGAATTTTAGATAAATTCCCTAAAATTTATTTCATTTTATAAAATTTTGGGCTTAGACAGAGTCAGCAGTTTGATTGAATTGTATTAATTTGGTGTTATTGTCATCGTTATTTTCTTGTTGGGAACCATCACCGTTGGTTGATTATTTATTGGTCGTGTTAACCGTTGAAGCAGCTTACACATGAATATATTCCTCTACTGCATACAGCTTGCTTTCCACAGAACTGTTTATGCAATCAGATCGGGACATCCGTGCACGCACGTACTCTAGTCTCCAGCTAGTGAACATATTTTCGGCTTTCAAGTTCTTAGAGCCAGAGGACTTGACCAAACTTTTTTCTGGGTGGTTGTGCCAAAAGATTATCAACCGAAATGATGAAGCAGACACGTGAAGGGAAAAGCGACAGAAAGTCAAGAAAGCAAAGAGAATCATGAAGAAATAAAAAGGACAACTTGGGCCGTGGTTGAACTTGAAGGTCATCTGAGTAATAACTTTTTAGTACTCTTTATCTTGTAATGAACCAAGTCATTCATATTGGCGATTGAGGCTTGGAGGATTTGTAGTTGGTCAATGAGAATATTATCAAAGTCCAGAAACAGCATTAGGTGGGGGCAATTTGATAACAGCTCAAGTGACTCTTATTTTAACAAGTTTCAGTTCAACAATTTCAATCGTTTTCAAATGGCCCCCGAGTAGCTTTAACCTTTAGAACAATCGATGCTTCATGCTTGGACAGTGCAGTCACCAGAAAGCAACTTTGAAATTCAAAGGCTACATATTTCCATGATGGAAAATGTAAATTTCATTTAATAAGCAATGAATGATAACTATAATACACAACAATTAGGAAACCTTTTATATTATACATGAATACTGAAGAACATTTGAATTTTTTGGGGAACAACCACTGCTCGAACCCTTGTTCAGTTGAGAACGTCCACTGCTTGTATGCTAGATTGCTACGCATTAGTGAAGACAATTCCGAAAGAATCGTATCCCCTGTACCAACAAAGATTCCATTAAGAATACAAAGTTATACCAAAGAAATAGGAATCTGGAAATGAAATGCAAATATTCAAATGTCATGTCCGCACCTGCAAGGCAAAAGTAATATCTGTTTCATCAATTTTTAATGTTACTCTCCTTAATCTATCCTCTCGAGATTGGCCAAGTTTGAGAAGACCCTGCATTATTATTAAACTGGTAAGATTGCTGGAGAGTACTTATAGTTAATTATGTGGAGAAAAGAAAAATAACTCAAATGGAGCTATAGAGCTATTGTATTTTTTACCTGGTCACTGAGCACTCTACACATATTTGAGAATTCCAGAATGCCCGTAGGGGGGATTAGTGCTGATTTACAGATCTCGGAGTAAGATTTATTAAGCTGCATCAGGAAAACAACTTGAACCATCAGCTGTGAACATATTTAAGACAGCTTCTTAATTATCTAAATATGAAACTTGGGGGGAAGGGAACATACGTCTCCAATGGTAGTGTCTTTCTTTCCCTTGCGGAAAAGCTTCACCAAAGAGCAAAGTATCATCTGCAGCACAGCAGTTTTAAATTGATAAATAAGAATTCATCCTTTCCTTAAGAAAGGTACTAATGCTATGAAATATATGACATCATTTTTCTGTCAAATGACAAATCTTATTTTCTCAAATTTAGTTCTAAATAGATTTTTTTTTTCGATCAATAGTTCTAAATAGATATTTTTTAATGCAGAATCTGGTAGGGTGCAAAAATTCTACTCTAAATCAAGGTTTCTAAGCCAGTAGAAACCAGCAACTTAAAATAGCTAAATATTCCAAGCAACCGGTAGCCATTGAAAAGTTCATAGAGAAATTTAGTTGGGATTGATCACCCTGAAGTCTGATTTTAACTCACCTGTTGATGCTGTGGAAGAGACTGTATAGTGTCCACTATTGCTGACTTGAATGTCCTTGATAAAGCAATGGCCATATCATCAACCCTCACCTACATGTATTTAAAATGACTAAGATAATGGTTCCCAACAAAGGCTATCGTTGGCATAGAGGACCATGAACTAGTAGATTCAACAAGTAAATAATTCTCTTCATAACAGCCACTATTTCAGCACAACGATTTACCAGTCAGATTGAAGCACAAAGTTTAATAGTATTAATGAAACTAATTTTCCAAATCAAATATATAATATCTACCAGGTTTTAGTATAAGAACATGTCAAGGCAGTTTAACAATTTGAAAGTACCCAACACTTTAAATAGTTATTACAATCATTGTAACAGTCAATAATTGTCAAGTTCTGGTGCCATAATGTCATCCCCTTTTAAGTTTTCATTATTTTAAGACTAGATTAAGATGAAAGAGGACAAGTGCCTAGACTGATAATAATGTCAAAACTTGGGTGTAATAATTAAGTACTAGAAGACTGACAACTTACAATGTTAATTTCTTGCTTCAACAATTCTGCTACGGGAGATATCAGTTGACCAGGTGATGCCTGCTCAGCCTGTAACAAGCTTGTACTACCACTTTGATTTTTCAACTCTTCTTCTAGCATCTCAATCGCATTCCTGAAGCACAATGTGCATATAACTTATTGATGTCCGAACATTGATGTTACATGCAATTTTTATATGACCTTTTGAAAAAATTTACAATTAAATGAAAGATCATGAAATGGAAATAAGAAACATCGAGACTCAGAAAGCTGGATGAATTTACTCATGCTTACTGGATGGAGATAAATGAAGGAGCGGGAGGGGGGCAGCCAAGGGAAAAGGGAAAGACACAATATAGAACGCATCAATACAAATTGGTCCAACCACAAGCCCCAACAATGAATCAATTGCAATAGAACACTGACCTACAAACACAGAGAGCTTTCCTCATATCTCCAGATGCAGCTGCAACTCTCTATTATATGGCATTATGGTTAGAAACTTTTCATGGTAAAATGCAACTCAAAGGGTCATTACTCCAATGATGTAAAGATACCAGAAGAAGACAAGTTATAAGGCTTTGCTTGTCATTAAAAAAAAAGGGGAAAAAAGAAATCATATAAGGCTTTGCTTGCTCCAAAGTTAACTAGTATTTTTTTAATATGCAGGCTGGCATCAAATCACAAAATCCAAGATATACAAAATCCTACTTAATCACATATGGAAAAACAAGTTTCATACATATATGAGAGGAAATCAAGAAATCCATGAGCTACTTTGTTAACGTGTTTGATCTTTTGAACAATGATATGATGAGACCAATGAGATCAATGATATGATGAGAACAATGATCTTCAGAACAGTGCAAACTCCAAGAATTGCATAATTGATATGATGACACCAATGAGACCATCTAAAATGGTAAGTCTGGATCGTCATCCGGTTTGTGTTTGAACCATTGCACTTCACCCATGAGATCAACATAAAAAAGGAAAAGGGGCAAGAGCAGTGCATGCATGAGAGAGATAGGAGGGTCATGGTTTTATCATGTATCAAATGTAAAAGATCCAATATGCTCTTAGGAGTCAAGTCTTCAATTTTTTGGGGTAAAATATAAAACCTACCCTGAGTTTTCTGACAATCTTATAAACCTCCCCTATGTTTTGATTTTAGCAGAATCCTCCCCTATAGTTTTGAAAAAAGCTATAAATACCTCCCTTCCATTAAAGTTCCATTAACTTAGAAGAGAAATTTACTAAAATACCCTTAGTAGGTTTCAGCAGGATTTCAACAGGCAGTTGATAATCTTAATTTAGATTCCGTGTTTGGTTTCTCTAGTTTGTCAAGATTTTTGCTCTTGGGGATCAATCCGTGTGGAAGGCAATGTCTTTGACTTTGCTCGTGTTAAATTTAATAAAACAATCCAGGTAAGATTGAGAGAAATAGGTTGGCGCTTAATACTTAATAGAACTTTGAAATTTTATTTTATTTTTTCTTCTGTTTTATGATTTGAGATCATGTTAGGAATTTCTTTGACCACTTGAAGTACTGTCACGCACATCATATGAACGCATTATAAAGATGAGTTCAGTATGGTTGAAGCTTTTTGGGTAGATTAAATAGTTCTGAGAAATGGCTGTTAAATTACTTAAATAGTAAAAGGAATCGCTTAGAACCATTTAACAGGCATCTCCACAAAGTCTCTAGACAGTGGTTCCTATTTGCCTGTCACCTGAAAAAAAAACCAGAAAATGAAAAGAAAAAAATAAGAAAGAGAATGAAGAAGAAAGAGAGAGAAGAATAAAAGAGATGGGAAATTGAGAAAATGTGAAAAATAAATAAAAGAGCAAAAGGAGAAAAAAATGAGTGACGATTGGTTAGCTCAATTGAGACAAAGAAGTGGAAAAAACAGGGGTAGGAGAGTGGTTTGCTTCGGTTACTACTTCAAGGGTAAATCTGGTATTTTAAGAAAATTAATGTATTACGTTAGGGTTTTCAGCCAGAAAAAAATAATAAGAGGGAGGTATATGCACCATTTTTCAAAACTATAAGGGAGGATTCGGTTCATATCAAAACACAAAGGAGATTTATAAGATTGTCAGAAAACTCAGGGGAGGTTTTTGTATTTTTACCCTTTTTTTGATAATTAGGAGTCAAGTCTTCAATTACAGACAAGCATGCACAGGAGAGCAAAGATGAAAGATTAGAATGAAATTGGACATACTCTTGCACAAAGCTCCAATGCTTGAGGTTGAAAGACATCATATGGAAGAGCCTAGTAAAACAGCAAAAAAACATCAGGTAATACTGGAGAAGTTCTTTTTGCTCTTTATATAATTCTTTGGAAAAGTTTAAATTACACTAGCAATGAAAAAGAAAGACAATACAAACAGAAGCATGGTACAAAAAATCAGTCAAATTTTGTGCAATAAACTGGACCTCAACCTAATCAAAATTTGCAAACAATCTCAAGTCTGTTATATTATTTGTTTTTTTTTTGTGATATATTATTTCACAAGATCTGGACCATTTACCTAAATGGCTTGTAACATATCTGACTTGCAAACTGGTTCAGAACCAATTTGCAAGTCCATTTGCATTAGTTCAGTCCAATAGAAGAAAACCTAATATATCTGTCATCTTAAAGAAATATGCACAAAGAATGAGTCCTATACATTACCTAAAAAGCCTAAAATATTGGTGGTTTTAAGAAAACCTATTAATTAGGTAATTTTGTAGGAAGAATGGCTTATATTAGATATATTTGGAACAAAACCCTAAAAATGGGAACAAGAAAAATCTTCCATTGATTTCCTACTATCAGTTTGCACGAACCTAATGATATTGAAGTCGCCTCCTATACACCAAGGAATAAACCTTCTGCCTCTAATTTGGTTTAGTTCCTCCCAGAAACCCAATCTCAAGGAATCATCATTTGGTCCATAGACACCCATGATCAATCCCTAGACACCATCTCTTCTCAGAAATTCAATAGAAACTGAAAATCCCCCTACAAAAAAAAATTACCTATACCAACTCAGTGTTCCAGATCACCAAAACCCCCTGCTGTTCCACAAGCATTTAGACACTTCCAGTCACATTAGCCTTCTCTCCACACACTTCTTACTGTTGCTGCTTCTAAAATCCCAACAAATCCAGATATATTTGTCCCTGCACAAAATATAAAATCATATGCATGTTGTGTGCAAGTCCATGTCGTCAGGTGTCAAACTGTATATACAACATTTAAGTTGGTAGCTATCTCGCTTCTATTTGCGATCAGTTGGATGGACCTGCTACCGCATGTCACAAAATCTTCATTAAGTTCTTCTTTGTTTGGTTCTCAGTTATTGTTTAGATCTGCATGTCTCTAAACAATATGATTTTTCTGTTGACTTTTATATATAACTATATTCTGCTTGATGCTTAATCATTTTGAAACTAGATAAATCTCTAGGAGATACTGATTTTGGTACTGAAACAGCCAATCTGCTCGATTTACTTGTTAAAATATCCATTTTTTGTATGGTGTTTCCATTGATACCTCATTTTAATATTGAATTAACTAGCATGTCTGCACTATTTGATTGGCCACAAATCCAAATTTTACTAATTGAATTTCATGGAAATTCGATTTTTCCCTATGTTTGCCATGTGGGAAATGGAATTCCTCTGTGAAATCCACTTCCTCAGTTGCCACTCTTTATTGGAAAAAAGCCTTCTTTTTCAAACCATCAGACTGCTTTCCAAGTTGTTTCCTAGGTGAAAAGGCAAGTTGTCTCATGCCTCTGACCCCCTGCTTGCCGGTCAATCATTGGCATTCACCAACATCTACTTCCTGTATTTACTGCAAACAAAGGAAATGGTTGTCCTATTCATATACTACATGTTCAATTAAATAGAAAAAAAATCAATATCTTATGAAATAGTTTTTTGGAAATTCTTTCAAGCAAAACCATTTCTTTACTTGACTTCGATTTTCACCCAACAAAAATGAGCCATCAGGTAGATGCAACGACCTTCCTTCTTTAACCGGCATTTTTTAGCAGTATCTCCTGTTTTCTTAATAACTGATCTCTTTAATGTACAGGATGAAACAGGCACTTACAAGAACCTCTTACAGGAGATAGCACAAAGAGTTGGAGCAGCATTGCCTCTATATACAACTTTCCATTCGGGTCTTGGGCATCTACAAGAACCTCTTATAGTATTAATGTTATTATTGTTATTTGTTTGGGTTCAATCAACACACAAATCAATGGCATAGTCTTGAACCCTTTAAGACTTTAAAACCTGAATTGATAAGAAAAAACTTGAAGATTTTATCCAATTGATACACAGGAACAATCAATAGGACTTCTTCATCTTCCTAGGACCAAAACAAGAGCTCAGCTCTTATGTTTCTATGCTTTCTTTCCTTTCTTATTTTTCTTCTTATAAATATGTTGATTTCCTATCTTTTGATGTGGGATTTATACTTATTTCATGAGGATAATGGAAATTATAAGTTAAAGATTACTGCTTATTACCATGAAACCTAGGGAACTACCTTAGGATTTATATTTTTTATTTTAAAAATTCATCACCTAGACAACACCTAGGCACCCACCAGGCACCTTTGCCTTCACACCTTGAAAACTATGGGGCAGACCCTTTATTTGTTGAAGCTCAAATGTTTCTGTTCACTATCTATATATTATATAACTAAAGTCTACTACATTTTAATATTGAGAATCTTATTTCTTCTTTCTTGCAGAAGTGAGAATGCATACTTCAATTACAATTGCTACTCTTGGGAGATTTTTTAGATGAAGGGGGAAATTGGGCAAAAAATCATTAACAGTTCATCTGAAAACTCTATTCAGTCTTAATTGACTCAAATTAGGGCAAAAAACCATTTTCTCTCCATTCCATCATGTTTATGATCATTTTCCTTATCTTTCCATGCACCGCATAGGTTTGTCGCTAGTCAATTCCATAAAGAAGAATTGATAATGCCCCTAGCTGCATTCCTAATTCAAAATATAATGGATGATCAAAGAGGAATCACTTCCAAATAGGTTTCAAATTGCAAGAACAAGCACCGGAAGGTCATGTTCAATACCATGAACCTCACATTCAACAAAGGGTGAGGGCAGGAAAGAGGTATGGAATTTCATCATTCACATCCCCACCCAAGTTTGTTGTAACTAAATTCACCATATCCTCCTTCCAAGTCTTGAGTTCAGGAACTATGTTACTATGGTATTTAACATCAAAAACCCCTCAGTGGTGCAACCAAGCCGTGCATGGTCTAAGCAAGATATGAAAAACACCACAAGAGTGCCTAACAACCAAAGGACCTGTTATCGACTTAATCTATTATCATCCTTAAACCCAACCAATAATTTGATCATTCAAATCCCTAATTTTCATAGACTTGAAACACAAATTCCCCCCCAAAGCTCAAAGTTTCAATATTTTTATTGTGAAAATATTACAAAATCATAAAAAAATTGTTAAAAATAACAAATTCATAGAGACAATTTCCCTTCACCACAAAGCCACATTAGGGAAATTATAAAAGAGAGTGTTACACTACAAGATTGAGAATATTGAAGGGCCAATGAAACTTAAGGAGAGGTATATTTACATCTAGGAAGTTTTGTTTTCCACCAAGAAATTACATGGACCTCAGGCAATCCTTGCATTTTGCACTATGATGTAATAATCACATCATTTATATTAAAAGCCAATCAGTGAAGTCCACCCAACATGTGACCCTGTTGACCGGAAAAACATTCTCCTTGCTCTAAATTAGCTTTGAGCCCTTTCCCCCTATGATATTTTTATTTACCAACTAGTTACAATTACGAACAATTACCCTAAAGAAGTATCTTATTACCATAACCAGAAAAGAGTAAACACACTGTAAATACCAGGGGAAGAAAAGTACATGAATTAAAAATTATCTGATAGGGAGAGAGCAATTCTTAAATCAATGGAGAGGATTATTTTTGTGGATTTTGTAAACAAGTGAACAGTGATCGTACTATATATAAGCTGTATATACTATATAGGAGCTGATCTTGTATCCTGTTTGAGGGAAGCTCTCCCTCCTTTTGTGTTTTATATATCAATATTATTTACCTTTCAGAAAAATATCTGATAGCTAAAAGACAAAAAGGGCAAGTAGAAATATGAACTACCATACCGTGAGTCTTTGTTGAAGAATCCTGAGGATCTGATCCTTAGAGTAGGCCCGAAAAGTTATAAGTATGATTTCACCTAGCATGGGGATGAAGAGATGAGATAGAAACTAAGTACCAAGTTTGGCATAGAGAGAAGCTAATTTAAGTACAGCAATACGGTACAACAAGAAAGCAATATTCCACTAAAGCTCAAGAATTGCCTTAGAATAAACAAAAAACTAACAGTTGTAATCTTGTATGGCATCAGAATATCAGGAGAGGGACAATAAAAAAGCTCTTTTAAAACAATATGGACATGTTTATGAACTGCAATAAAGCATGATGGATGCTTAGAACATTATTCCAGAAAAATAGAAGGCAGAACCTTTTTGAAATTTATTTCAGTAACCAAATTGGTTCAGCAGAAGACCTAGGAAAATAACAATGGATGCTAAATAGGAAAAACTAGAAATTCAATTTCCTAGTTCCACTTAAAGACCTACTAGTAAAGTTATTAATGATGTTTGAAAGATGTCTACTGGAAGAGGAGTACTAGAAAGCAACACAGAGCATGCAGTGTTGCTTTGCCACCCTGCTATGAAAGAACAGCATTTACTTACTTTTAATTGGTCCTACAGGTTATTAATATTCTATTAAAAAGAAAAATAAAGAAATCAAATCCATTTTACTTACTTTTAACTGGTAACTACAGTTTATATATTCAGGCAGGGAAAATTAATTGTTTCCAAAAATCATTCTAGCTAGAAATAAAAGTAAAGGGCAATTGTGTTGAATAAGATCAGCTAATAGTGTGGCTGATGCTTTAGCAAGGAAGCAAGTAGGTAGAGGCTAATTGTGCTGGGGATTGATTCCCCAGGGGGAATTTATAACATTAAAAGAAGGAAAGAATACAGGGGTGGGTTGGGTAGTAGAAGCTGACCCAAACTTGGGGTGTTTTCCACTGTGTATACTCATACAACATTTCCCATGATAATTGATAAAAGGATAACTGTTATTGATGATAAAATACGGATAAATAAGATGATAGAGAACCTAAACTGCTTCAGTAGCTGGTCAATCACCGGGATGAACTATGTATGTTAGCAGGTTTTGAGAAAAGAATCCTTTGACAAGACAATTCAATAAAAGATTGACATGGTGAGTTGGCTACTAAAAGGAATAAAATATATTTCATAAGTAGTTGGATGATAAAATAGAACTTCTAAAGTTAGTAAGCTCACAATTCAATGGTTGAAGCTTTGGCAGAAAGCGATCAGCCAGGTCTATAGCATTTGCTATTCCTGAAAAGGCAAGAAATAAATCAGCTTCTTCAGCACTTAATGATGCGATGTACACAAACAGATGAATGTTATATTATTTAGGACTATACCTATTAAAATGAAAGAAATTTTATTCACTTACAGTTGTTACCTTAGATTTGGAACTGTACCTATTAAAATGCAATTGGAAGATGGAAGAGTTGCAAGCATGAAAAGATCATGAAGCACAGTACGATCTCTGGTTATTAAATAATCCAACTCATCAACAATTAACAGCCTGAAACAAGGAGAAGTTGATGAATGAAGCCACATATTTAAAACCATTCAAATTGGAAAGTAAGCAGTAAAGCAATTCATACATACAAAAAAGAAGGTACTGTATTAAAATCTCAAAAAGCACAGCTAAAATATGATATATGCATTAAAATCTCAAAAAGCATAGCCAGAATATGATATATGAATTACAGATATGATATATGTATTAAAATCTCCAAAGCATAGCTAGAATATGAAACAAATACAATGAAAGTATAGGAGGGTAAGAGTGTCAGTACATCATTTTTTCACAGGATGACTGCTTTTGAGAAAACAATCTCTGGAGGTGCTGAAGTGGTGAAATCCCATTTATTTTCTTCCGAGGATGAAGCTTTTCAAATATCTAACACAGCCGCAGAAAATTAGTACATTCAACATGTAGATTTCCATAGTACATAGAAACAACTCATGGCATGCGTACCCTAAGGAAAATTTCATTTGTGTATGAAAGAGAAGTACAATTTATACCCAATACATCTGGTGGTTGAAATCCTGCCTGACAATGAAGTCAACATAGGAACCTGGTTTAGTCTAAAAAGGAATTTAGAACATAATGCAGAGCAGGAAAAACATATACATGCACAACGCACCCAACTTCCATCTAGAAAGACCTATGCATACACATATGATATAGCTGAGACTCACGAATAATTGGTCCATTTTAATGGAGATGCCTTATAAGTCAAGGATAAAACCTGGCCATTGGGTAATCTTAACTACCCAATCAATAATGTACTATTGGGCTGTTACAGTACATGGCAAACGCATCTCCCATCCCTCAAACAAAGACGGAAGAAGAAAAGAATACTAACAAGTCATCCATGAATATAATACGTGAGAACAATAGCTTGTCTCAGCAAATTTAATTCATATTTTGTTTCCAGGATGATAGCTACCAGCGTCTCAGCAGCCTAAACAACCAAATAAAAAATGAATATAATACCTCTTTTGCCCATTCAACCAGTAGCTCTTTAACTTTGTTTATTGATAATGTTTTTCCCGTCCCTGGACACCCAGAGATATATAAATTCCCAGCTTTCTTCTGATCTATGCATGATTTGCAGAAATCCAATATCCTTTTCTGTTCCTCCTCCCGGCACACGATAGCACAAGGTGTTGTTGATACATGCAATGCTTTTTTCACGGCACTCATCTGCTCAGAATCTTGATATAGATGAAAATATAAAAAATGGATCAAGATCAACAGAATATGCATCGCAGATTATAATCAACACCAAGAAGAAAAGGCATCCTAAAAAAACATTTCGAGTTTCTAAAAGGGGTAATGGATAGAGAACAAATCAAAATCATCTACAGATACTCTAACTGAGCTCAAACCAGATCCTTCTTTATTTTTTAAGTAGGGTACTATCAGAATATCTACAAAAATCAAAAGCTTACCTTTGGGATTCCATATTGGTTTCTGAGGAAGACTATCATACAATCTTCTCCTAGTGGATTTGGGTGATCCAGCAAGCTTGTCGCCGGATTCTTGTCCAGCTTTGGGTGATTCGGCGAGCTTATTATCAGACCCTTTGCCAGTTTTGTGTAATTTGACTAGCTTATTACCAGATTCTTTGCAATTTTCCTGCAATGATTAGAAATAATGCCAACGTTAATGAAGGAAAAAGTTAGGTTAGAAGTTGAAAATCAATAAAACCCAAATATAGAACCACCCGTTGGAACTCACATTTGAAACACTATTTGGGCTGCTTTTGATGCATCTACGAGGCGATTTCCATTTATCCGGCGAACAGGGCTTGGAAGGAATTGAGACTGGACTGTCATGGTTAGTTGCGGATCTCAATCGCCTTTTCTGGGGTGTAGAATATCCTTTTGATCGAATCTCGTCAGGTTTCTCCACCTTCGCAGATTTCTTCTCTTTGTTTTCGTTTCTGCCAGCAAAATCAGAACCACTGTATAATTCAGAGTACCCATTTCCGACTAGACTCGGCATTTTTACGGTTTGCTGAACTCAGAAGAGATGCAATTTCAGAGAAAAAAAAATGAATCGCTAGGGTTTGTATATGCAGATGAAAGCGGGCAGGGTTGTGATCTCTTGGACGTTATAAAGGTTTTGAGCGGGAAAATTAACGGCAAGACTGCAGTTCCCGCCACAGAGCAACTCACCAACTTCGTAGGGGTGCAACTTGGGCGGCCAGGGCGGGCACAGCCCAAGCCCGAACGGATTCAGCACGAAATTTTACACGGGCCCAAGAATTTGGGCTTTTTTATTTTTTGGCTGAGCCCAGGCCTAACCCGTAGTCCGAACCTGGCCCAAGTAAGCCCAACCTATATATATATATAAGGGCAGGAAAACTTTCTTCTCGACTTCAGCTTCCAAGCGCCTCTTCAAATCCCTATCTGAAATTCAACAGATTCCCTGTTTTCGTTTTCTTTTTTTTTTTAAATAACCGAGATGAATGAATTTTTTTATATTTTATTCATGTATAACTTTTTTTATCAAATTAATCAATAACCAACCTAATTCACTCGTGGGATCTAGGTGGCCCGGGGGGGACCACCACGGCTCCTCTCTTCTCGAGAGGTTAGTTCGATAAGTTCAATGAATTCTTTTTTTATTTTTTTACAAGGAAGCGAGTCAAAGAGCTCAATATATATATACCCACATTTATAATTTTAGAATAGTTGACCAACTCAAGTTGGGCTCAGGTTTGAACCTAACCCAAGTGCATCAAATTACAATATGGGTTAGGATTGGGTTGGGAAGATCGGGCTTAGTCCAAGCTCAGGCTTTAAGCCCAAATTTTAGGGTTGGGCTTGGGTTGACCATAAATCCAACTCAACCTGCCTGACTTGCACCCCTACCACTGCATTGGTTCAAAAAAAGCTAAGTCCATATCTAGTCCCAACACTATGATCATAACAACCATCTCAATAGAACAGAATTGTGCCATCTTCTCACGGGGCTAATCGTTAAGGCCCCGTGTGGCGCTCAATTGTGTCGAGAAAACTTATGAAACAAAGTGACGGGCAACAAATGCAACAATGATGGTGCACAAATTAGTCAGAATACACTTTATATTGCAATTTAAATAGCAAGCGCAAGCATATAAGTTTATGTCAATGGGGATCTCGTGTTTAATCTTTACACGTTTTTAGTTCCATTCAACTACCTACCTCTCTTCAAAGAATAACTTAAGCTTTTGGGAGAATGACAAAATGATACATGAAGGGCATTGAAAAATCATATTGATAATTATAATAATGTCATTGGCATTTCTCGATACAAAATACATGTATAGCCCCACCCAAGATAGACACTACACTCTGTTGGCATGCCTAGTAGATGGCAAGGTAAAGGGTTCATTTGTGACAATGTATCAACTAATACGAGTAGGAAACACAAATGGGCAAACCACCCCCACTCAAAATGAGTTTGCTTTTGCGCCCTACATGCACATCTTAGCATGCATTGGAAACATCTACCATATTTGTCATTGGAAGATGTTCCCAATACATCATTGGGATATACTGTGGGGCGTATTTGTCCGCAAGGTGTGCTCTGGGGCGCAAATGCGAATTCACTCAAAACCCAAAACCTTTCTTCCCACTTTGAGGCGTGCTTTGGTACATGTGAGATGTACCCATGATTTAATATTGATGTATTGTCCTATGATTGGCAGTGAAGGAAGTTGTGCAGGAGATCGGAAAAAATCTAAAAGAATTGGGATATGCTCCTCACACTGACCTCACAGCCACATCCCACCCTGTATTGGGTGATGCAATGTATCTCTTCACCATCATTTCAAGTCTTGGTTAATGGGAGCCCTAGTAAAAACTTTTGTTCCTTCCGGCTCAAACAAGCAGACCTCTTATCTCCTTATCTACTTTTGATTGTCTCTAAGGTCCTATCCTTGGCCCTGATAAATGCTCACTTTGTAGGTCTTATTTAAAGAATAAAACTTAACCTTGACTGTCCTACAGTTACTCATTTGTTTTTTGCAGATAATTCCTACATTTTCTCAAAGGCAAACATTCTAGAAGGAGGAGTGATAAAGGAGATTTCGAAGGAATATGGAAAAGCTTCTGGGCAAAAGGTGAAATTCACTAAATCTGAAATCTTTTTCTCTCCAAATCTTCATCCAAAAAGTGAAAAAAAGAAGAGTTCTGAGCATTACAAATGTTGAGAATCCTTCAAAGTACTTAGGAATTCCTTAAATTTCTGGAAAAAAAAAGTGTTTTTGGTTATCTAGGAGAAAGGATGGAGAACAAAATTAATGGATGGAAAGCTTTTTTCCTTTCCTCGGTTGGGAAGGAAGTAATGATCAAAGCAAAGCGGTCCTGAATGCAATTCTATCCTATGTCATGTCATGTTTCTTGCTCTCAAAATCCATTTGTAAACAATTAAAGAAAAACCAAAGATACTTCATGTGGGGGAATCAGAGAAGAAGAAAAAAAATCAACTGGATTAGTTGGTCAAAAATTTGTAAAAGCAAAGCTTTGGGTGGCCTAGGATTTAAAGACTCCTATCTATTTAACCTGGCTCTCCTAGAAAAATCAGCTTGGAGGTTATGTTTAGAATAAAACAGCTTATGGGTGAAGATTGTAAAAGGCAGATATTTGAATTAGAAAAGTTTTTGGAATCTGTCTGCTCCTAAGAAGTGTTCTTGGGGTTTTAGAAATTTGTTAGTTGGTAGAGATCTACCTAGAGAAGGTTCATGTTGGAGCATAGCAAAGGGTGAAAACAAGTTAAAATGGGGTGATCCATGGAATGTGGGAGCTTTCCATTTTAAACCTATGGGCCCAAGACCAAGGGTACAGCATTGTAAATGGGTCAGTGAACTCATTGATCAACAAAACAATTGCTGGAGTGAGCAGCTCATTCACTCCTGTTTAGATGAAGTTACAACAATCCAAATTGGTAGGATAGACCTTCCGAGGAGAGGAGGTGATGATAAGTTGATATGGACTTCGGATCGGAATGGGAAATTCTCTATAAAATCTGCATATCAACTAGTTGTTAGATTAAGAATTGATCAATGTGCAGAAGCAAACTCAAATATGTTGACACCAAAGCTGTGGAAGAAGACATGGGCCTTAAATGTTCCTAAAAAAGTCGAGCATTTCATTTGGAAATGCTACCACAATAATATAGCAGTAAATAAGGGCCTCTCAAGTAGAAATATAAACTCCGACCCAACTTGCCCAGTTTGTGAAAAGGATGAAGAGAGTTATTTGCATGTGATCATGCAAGAGCTACATGGTTTGGAAGCAATCTTAGTTTGGCTTGTGTTAATTTGCATATTTTTAGAACCTTTGCAGATTGGTGGTCATGGTGGTTGCAGCAAGAAGGGAAAAATGGTTTATCTGATCAATTTTGAATTTTCTGATATCTTATATGGTTTATTTGGTATGCAAAAAACAGATTAGTGTTTGAAGAGATCCGGCCTGAACCATATATTTGCAAAGTGTGGTAGTTGTAAATTTGTCTCTGTAGAGTTTGATGAACTTTATGCTATTTTGGATTGTTGTTTATCGGCACAGTCCTTTGGTTTATCCTCTATTAGAATAGAAAGTGATTCAACAAACCTGGTAAAAGTGCTAAGCAGTCGTTCTTTTGATTGCCCCTCTGTTGTTTGGCCTCTTTTGCAAGATATTTATGCTTTTAAAGATCTAAATCTCAGGTTTAGCTCTGTTCATAGAGAGCTGAACTGTGCAGCCTATGAGCTGGCAAAAAAAGGTAAAGCAGGTGTCCAATCTGAATGGACAAGTATTCCAGACTGGCTAGCCCCATTTATGGATATCTCAGGTGCTGGACCTTCATTGATAGTCTGGAAGCCCCCCTAATTTTGGTTAGCGTTTCTTTAAGTTGTTTTTAAGCAAGGTTTTTAAAACTGAACTGGAAAACAAACCAGTTAGGGGTCCAGATTTTAGGTTTAACAGTCTAACCGTTCGAATCAAACAGATGACCCGTTCTGGCAAAAGAAAATTTAAAAAATGACCAAAACTGTTGGACGGTTCGAATGCTTCGAACAGTTCGGCTGCCTGGGTCAGCGGTTTATTAACCAAATCAACGGTTTTTGATAAAATAACAGTTTTAGGGTAAAACAGAACCGATCACCCGATCAATTCCCGGTTTTTCCAGTCTGATTTTGAAAACCATATTTTTTAATGTTTTTTTAGGTGGTTCTTTTGTTGGCTTGCTTGTTTGTCTTGTTTTCTGTTATTTGATTACCCAAATAAAAAAGTTGAGGAGTTATTTATTGCAAACGATAATTCAGGGAGCTAAGTACCACTTTTCAAACTTAGAATTAGCCAATTAAGATCAGCATCCGTATTATATATATATACACAAACTTATGGTTATTCTAGAAATGATATGCTCATGTTAGACCGAAGAACTAGTCTTTGAATTTAGAACTGCTGGACAATATTACAAGACATATTTGACATTACATCAATATTATATGCAAAAATGAATAGACATATGAGCCTCAAATAGATAAACCTCATTGCTCACCCAAGTTGGGTTAGGTTTGCCCCAAGGCCTCGACCCTAAATATAATCCAAAGTTGCATCAGGATCACTTTTTTTAACACTAACTCCAACCCAACCTTCGATACAAAACTACTTTTTCAGGTGAGATTGGCACTAACCAAAGCCCAAATTGCACTCTCATTGGAGCTTTCCCAAAGTGAAAGTAATTACAAAATTTTAAGTATTAGTGAAAAAACTTTTCATAGAAAAGCTTATAGTTTTCATAATCTGCATGAGCTTTTCTTATTGAAACTTGTGTAATCAGCCCCACCCCACCCTATCTATATTATCTAGAGGAAAGAAGGTGGGTGAGTGGTCCTTTCACCTCATTGCTCACATGAACCTCTTTTCCCTCTCCTTTCTCATACATGTGATTGAATTATTTATAATTAAAACTTAAAACCACAAAGAAAACCTTATCAAGTCTTCTCTATCAAATAAAGTCCATCTTTTTTTATCTATACATATCCTTCTTAACTCTCCCTCCCCCGATTGTTAATGTAATAATGTTTGTAACCTCTCACTTTCCTGATTAAATCCCTCGTTCTCTCTTAAA